CAGCCCGGCTCTGACCTGGGGGGACCCGGCGGGGGAAGGCGCTGTGTTTGCTTTCAGAGAAGGGCACTCGGCTGGAGTCTCTGTGGGTTCCTGGACTTCCCGTCCCCGAGGAGGAGGACGTTCCTCGCTTCAGATCCCCGTCTGGTCGCATCCAGCTTCACACCCACCCCCGTGACAGGACGAGCCAGAGCCTGGGGGCGGGGGACAGTGCACAGAGCCGGGTGGGCTGTGGGTTTGGGACTGTCTCCAGTTTGCTCGGCGCCTGAGTGCCAGCCACTCAGCTCTTACCCACCTTGGCAACTTCAGCTGAACTTTTTTCCTTAAAGACAAAGCTGCCCCCTCTAGGAAGCTGACGCCAGCCCGCACAGTAGCTGACATGCTGCATATTTGGCAAGAGAAACACCCCTGTAGCAGAAAACAAAGACATCGCACTTTCTCCGGCCTCTGCCACGACGGGAGCTGCTGTGGTCGGGGCCCGTCTGGCTCCGTGCCTGGCGAGTGGCAGGCACGCAGCTACTTGGGGGCCGCACCACGCAGCAGCCGTACAGGCTGGGGAGCTGGATGGATCCACCTGAGCCCCTCACTGCTGTCTCCCGCTGGCTCAGCAGTGGCGACAGGGTGTGAGGTCCCCGGTCTCCTGTTTAGCCCCGCCGTGTTGGCCAGAAGGGACTTCCATCCTTTTCCTCTCAGTCAAGGACAGCGAGATGAAAGGTCCGGCACAGGGGGCACTGAGGTCGCCTTAACTGAGGTCCTTTGAGGGCGTCTAAAATTGGGACTGTCCGTCTGGACGGCTGGCAGTACGTGATGGCATTGACGCAGCGTCTCCTTCAGGCTGAGTGCACGTCCTGGCTGCAAAGTGGGGCCCGCTGCGGGGCCCGGTGTGGGGCCTGTGTGCTCCTGAGCAATCTGTGCGGGACGCGGGGCGGCGGGCAGCCTGCGTAGGCCCTGCGAGGAGCTGGCCGTGCCTCCACGCTGTCCCTCTGCTGGGCTGGCGGACAGAGGTGATGTCATAGCACCAGCGGAGTCTGCAAGCATGTGCCTTTCCTCCCCAGATCTCCATATGCCGGGAAATGCCCAGCCTGGAAGTGATCACCCTCAGGTACCTGCGTGTCCGCTGTCGCTCTGGGTGCCTGGGGCTCGGCAGAGGAGGGCCTTCTGATACCTCCTGCAGACCTGTGACCTCAGATAACCCGGAAACTCTCAGGCTCCGCCCCTTTCTGGAGCATCACCTGGGCCTGGTCCAGGGCACACGGATGGCCGCGTCTGCCCCAGCACCCCGGCCTCCCACCTGGTTCCCTCACGGCCCAGGGCTCTGCCAGCTTCTTTGTGCCACATGATCTGGCATTCATAATTGGAGTCACTTAGTCTTAACAGACTAAGGAAACCTCGAGTGAACCACATTCCGTCACTGGGATTCTGGGCGGCTGGGGAGCGCAGAGGGTCTGGCCCTGAGCCCCCTCTGCCCTCGCTGGACCCGGGGAGGCCGCCGATGCCATGGGTGCTGTTGCTCTGATGCTGGGGCAGTCCCCACGTGTCAGCCTGATGGGGCTTCAGACTGCAAGGAAGGCAGACTCCCTATTTGGCAGTTCAGAAGGTTCTGGAACTCGCCCTAGGTGGTGGTGTAGGCCCTGGGTCTGCACAGCTGCATGACTTACCTTCCTGATCAGACGGCTGGCCACCCTGTTCGTCCTTTGTGCCTTCCACAGTCGCCTTGTGGGTGCCCGTGCTGCCCGCCCAGGCCGGGCCTGAGCCTGAACGTCTGGGCTTAGAGCTGTGCGGACGTGCAGGCCCTGTGCCTCGGTTTCCCTGCTCCATGGCGTGGTGCAGACAGGTTCTCCCCGTGTCTCTGCAGCGTCAACAGCGTGTCGACCCTGGAGCCCATGAGCCGGTGCCGGCAGCTGAGCGAGCTGTACCTGCGGGGCAACTGCATCCGCAGCCTGGCCGAGCTGTGCTACCTGCAGGGCCTGCCGCGCCTGCGCGTGCTGTGGCTGGCCGAGAACCCGTGCTGCAGGCCCGACCCTCACCGCTACCGCATGACGGTGCTGCGCAACCTGCCCCGCCTGCAGCGGCTGGACAACCAGGGTAGGCGTCCCCTCCCCGGGCACCCGGGCCCCATGCTCCACGCACTGTCCTGCACGCTCTGCTCCAGACTCACCCGTGCTCCCTGGCGAGCCCGTGAGTGGGTCCGGGTGGCCGAGCAAGGTCACTGCTGGCCCGTGGGGACCCAGGGCTGGTGGTGCCCCTGCCCTCCCAGCCCCGGGCACCTGATGTCCGCCTCTTCTGGTCAGGTGCAGCTCCTTCGTGACCCATGGGCAGGCCCGTCCCCCCGGCTGAGGGCCCCGCAGCCCAGGGCTCCCCATCCCAGGCCGTGCCTCCCTCTGGTCAGTCTGCCGGCACCCCCGTGGGCTGGCTCCGAGTCCTTTTCTTAAGTGCACAGTTCTTTTCTGCCATTTGACCAATTTTAAGTAAATAAAATTCAGGGAAATTCAGTCGCATGTGAGAGAAATAGGATGAATATGGCGTCTGCGGTCCCTTTTTAAAATTTAATTTGAGTTTTTTATGAATGTTTGCTTTTGAGAAGTGCTGAATTCAGATTCACAGGCATTGGCCATCTGCTGTGTGTCCAGCATGAGCTGGGGCTGGGGACCCCGCCCTGCCCCCGGGGAGCTGGCCGTCAGCGTGGACAGACACACAGACAGCTCTTTCTAAGGCAGACTGCTGAATGCCACGCTGTGTGGGGCCTGTGTGCGTGAGGCCACTCTGATGCCTTCGCCCCCTCCTCCCCCAAGCTGTGACTGAGGAGGAGCTGTCTCAAGCGTTGTTGGAGGGAGAGGAGGTCACGGCCCCCAGCAGAGAGGGCACAGGGAACGGCCAGACAGAGCTGTCCTACACCCTGAGCACCATGACCTCTGCCGAGACCCACGGGGACCCGCTGAGCTTCGGCGAGGAGGAGGCAAGGTGCGCCAGGAGGCCTGTCGCTGTCCTCCCTCCGGGAGAGTCAGCGGGCCCTCCCGTGAGCCACCTCTCTGGGGAGGGCCGGAGCGAGTCGCCCAGGGCGGTTCTTCCTGGGCTGGCCCTCGGCGTTGGTGTTCGAGAGAAGGCCCAGGGCATGGCGTGCGTGCAGTGGGGACCAGCCTGCGCGGGGGTGGCTTGGAGGTGGGCTTAGTTGGCTGGGCTGGCGGAGGGGACCGTGCAGCTCCAGAGCCTGCAGGGGAGGGGAGGGTGGCCTCCGAGCACGGGCCTGACTGTCACGGGCGTTTTCGAGCAGACCGAACGTGGGGAGATGGCCGTTCAGCCCCCGTGCCGGGCGAAGGCACCCTCTCGTTTCCCTGGGCGCAGCCTGAGTCGGCGCCCCAGGAGCTCGGGTGCGGGAGGCAGCCCCAGGGGTCAGAGAGACATAGGTGCTGGAGCCTCAGTCCCTCTGCCCCGCCCCCTCCTGGTGCCCGTCCCCCCGGTGGCCTGGGGGGCCAGGGGGCCGTCGGGAGCGTCTTCCCCCCTGTGCTCTGAGGCTCCGGGGCTGGCCCAGTGGAAACGAGCCCGTGCTGCTGAGCCCTCACGCACTGTCATTGTCCCCAGCAGCAACGTCCAGGGGCAACTCGGCCTGAAGCCCCCGGCCCGGGACCGCTCCCCGTCCTTCTCTCAGAGGGAGGCTGTGAGCAGTCGCAAGAACAGGGTGAGTGTGGCGGGGCCGCTGGCTCCCTCTGCCAGCGCGTGGCCGTCGTGGGGCGGGAGACGCGGCAGGGCCGCACAAAGCCAGGCCCCGAGGCGGAGGGGTCCCCGCCTGGGCTCAGCACCCGCCTGCGTGTGGCTGGGTGCGGGCACTGTGTGGCCGCGGCTGGAAGGAGGGCTGTGCGGACTGCTAAGCCGGGGGGTTGGCTGCTGTGGCGAGTCCCGGCCCGCGGCCACCCGCCCGTCACCTCGGACGTGTCAGCGCCGGCAGCCCCCTGCCCCACGCGTGCAGGTCCCTTCCTGCATCCGTGCAGTGGGCTTGGTGGCGTTCCCCGCCTGCGGGCACATGGAACCGGTGCGGACACATGACACGCGTGCATCACGCTCATAAGCACATGTGACACACATGTGTCACGCTCAGCACCCGTGTTTGTGCATGTGAGCACATCTTACTGAGCAGCCCTGGGCTGCCCGGCCACGGGCCAGCTGTGTGGCGAGGGCCCGGTCCCCAGCCTCTCTGGGCCTCCAGGCTGTGAGCACGAGGTGAGTCAGCATGTAGGAGGTCCCCGAGGCGGTGAGTGCCACACCACAGCAGTGGCCACGGCTGCCTGGAAGGCCGCCCCCCCCCCACGTGACCTGCCGTGCTCTGGCCAGGGCCCCTGGCGCGTTGTGGTGTGGGCAGCCTGGCCTTGCCGGGCGTGGCGCTCAGCCACCAACTCTGTCCCCAGAGCAATGTCCTGACCGCCATCCTGCTGCTGCTGCGGGACCTGGACGCCGAGGGGCTGGAGGCCGTGCACCAGGCCGTGGTCGGCCAGCTGCAGGCCCTGCACAAGCGGGACTTGCAGGAGGACATGGACTGACCCGGCGAGGGCCCAAGCGGCCAGGCCGTCCTCTCGAGACCCGGTGCCGAAGTCTCAGCGCCTTGCCGAGAACCCGGCGGTGACCACCGCAGGCTCCACAGACCCGGCCGGGCCCCGGCATGCACAGCTGCGTCTTCAGGAAGCCCCCGCCTGCACGGAAGGCCAGGCCTCGCCGTGGACGCCGCCAGTGCGGAGGGCCTGCCTTGACGTGCGCTTTCGGGGGCCTTCCCCGCAACAGATGTCCCTGACGTCACACCTGGGGCAGTTTGCTGGGACCAACGTGGCCTCGGCCTTCTTTCCAAAGCCAAGAGCCCAGCGCACGTGCATTTGTCCTGGTCAGGCCTCTGGCTTAGTGCGGGGGCAGATTCTGGACCATAGACACCTTCCAGAGCCACGGCCTCCTCGCAGACATGTCACTGCCACCGCCACCGGACACGGGCGGGGGCTGGGAGGGGCAGCTGCTTGGAGCGCCGCGGTGACATGGAGTGTGTGTGGGGGCCCTGCGTGAGAGGCCTGCGGGGGACAGGACTGCCATGTCTGCTCGGGGACCCACGTGTGGCCACAGGGGAAGGACAGACATCTGGGAACTGCGTTTGGAACGTTTTCTTTCTCTGGGAAGTCACAGGCCTTGCTGTGACGCACAGGAGCTGGGTAGTGATGCTGCAGCCCCAGGGGCCCTTCCTAGTGACCCCCAAGATGCATCTGCACGGAGCGGGAGCCGTGTGACTTCCACGCCACTAGAGAAAAGTCCGTCCTCATGGGGTCGTGACGATGGGCTGGGGGGCGAGGCGCAGACCGCGCGTGTGCCTCCTCGTCGCTGTGGGACCTTGGACGCTCTCAATAAAGCTGCGCCTCGGCAGGAACGTGTCGGGCAGGTGTGCTGCTGCCGGACGCCCTCCCTCTGCACTCACCAGGGGCTCACCCCGCCCGCCCCGGCCTGCTGCGCCATGCTCGGGGACCCCTGCGTGGACCTGTTGGGAGAAGCCTGTCTCGGCCTGATCCTCGTCACCCCACGTGGTTCTCCCACTGGATCAGAGGCCATCAGTTCTCCGGGCCTTGCTCCCAGCCACTGCCCACTCGGTGCTCTTTGAAGCCCTCAGGGTGGACCAGGACCACCACGTCCACCCAAGGCCTCTGGTCTGGAACAGGGACACTTGACAGTTTCTGCTCTGAGCTCCCCAGTGACTCTGACAGGGCGTCAAGCACAGCAGGTGTTACACCTGCGTGTGTCCCGCCCGCCCCAGCTCACACAGCTCTGAGGCCCAGGAGGACACGTGGCTCGGCCTGCTGGGCCCAGCGCACACTCGCACAGGTGAGGCGGACCTGAGGGCCCAGCTCCAGGAACAGGCACCAGGGGCTGCCAGGCTCTTAGACCAACATGGGGAAGCTGGCACAGGGCCAGCCCAGCCGTGCCGCGAGCCCCCTGGAGTGACCAAGGCGCCCTGCCAAGATCTGTGGCACGAAGGCAGCTCCAGGGACAAAGGGCCCCAGCCTGGTCCCTCGAGCCACCGAGCCGGCCTTGGCCCAAGCAGGAGACCTTGCCCAGGCCTCCCGATGTGGCCTGAGAGCCCCCCAAAGCCAGGGCCTCCCCACAAAACTCCACGGGTCCCGGACCCTCATCCTGAGCTTGGGCAGGAGTGCAGGCCACGAGCAGCCCAGGGCTACGTGCCCAGGCAGCCGCGTGGGACGGAGGACGGCACGGCGAGCGAGGGCGTGACGCATCCCCCCGGAGCGCAGCTCAGGGGCCCAGTCAGCTTGTCCGCCGCGCCCGCGCCCGCGCCCGCTGTGCTGCAGAGCGAGGCCCGCACTGCCCAAACTCATGGCACATCAGCCCACGCGTGGCGACGCAGGCCTGGCTACCTCCCCTCCCCCACCAGACCGGCCACCTGCCCTGGGGTCCCTGGCTCCGCTTCGGAGACCCCAGCCTGGGCTCAGAAATCCTCTGCACCTGGGGTGGGCCAGGCTGTCGCTCCTCAGGACAGTGTGGAAGAGCTTGGGTCATCCCCTCGGCACAGAGGGGCCTAGAAGGTGAGTGTGGCCCCAGGAAGCGCATGTCTGTGGGACCGGCCCTGCCCCCAGGCCAGAAGACAGCTCCAGACCCGACCCCGTCCTGACCCCCAGCCGGCCCACCCGCCCGAGAAGGCCCCGTGGGCCCTGCTTCCCAGAGACGGACAGCACTCCACCGTCAGGGCGATTTTATTTCTAGAAAATGTGACAATCTCTGCTCAGCCAGAGTGGCTAGTGCACACAGGAGCACGGTCACAGCGAGGCCCACAGGAACCCGGGCACTGGACCCCAAGGGCTGGTGAGGCTGAGCGTGAGAGGCCAGCACGGGGGGCGGCTCAGCCATGTAGGGGTGAGAGGCAGTGGTGTCCAGACTCAGACGCCCCACGTGCCCCAGCGCGGAAGACAGGCGCTCTGTCCCGGAGGGGGGTCCGGCGGGCAGCAGGGCTGGGGCCGTGAGGCTGCAGCAGCCCGGCAGGGAGGGCCAGGCGGCCTCAGAAGCCCGTGTCCACGCTCAGGGTGCGGCGGGTGACGTGCTCCAGCTCCCCGGACACGTAGTCGGCCATGCTGACGTGGTAGTGCGCCAGCATCTTCAGCATCAGCCGCAGGTGCAGCCACCACTGTTCCCGGGGCATGCGGTGCCTGGTGGGCGGGGCGAGGGTTGGGGCACCTCCTCGGGCCACGGCCCCGCCAGGGACCATGGCCCTCCTCCAAACCCCAGCCCCTCCCGGCCCTGCACATGAGTGGTCCCAGGCGGTGGTGTCGGGGTCCCCGTCCCCGCACCCAGGACGGGCTCGGCACACCCACCGGGGACCAGAGGGCAGGCATGTGCGCTCAGAGCTGACAGTCCGCAGCTGGCCCAGCACACTCGCCCGGGGAGGCCCGGACCTGGCGGTCCACCCTCACTTCCGAGGGACTCACTCAAAGTCAGTGTCCTTCTTGAGCTCGGTGACGGGGCTGAAGGCCACCGCCTTCTTCCGCAGGCCGATCACGCAGGCCGAGTCGGGGGCGTTGGCGAAGACGCGCCCTGCGGACACAGACAGGTGCTACGGGCCACCCCCCAGGGCCGCGGCAGAGGGCAAGGTTGGGCCGGGCCAGCACGCCCACGTACCGTTGCGGTAGACGGCCTGGAGCTTCTCGGACATCCAGAGCATGGCCTTCACCCCTAGCTTGGTCCCGTAGTTCCGGTCGAAGGGGGTAGGAGCCCCACCCTGGGGATGGTGAGGCCGAGGTCTGGCGTGCATGCCCGCCCAGGAGTCCCCAATCTCGGCCCCGCTGGGACCCCAGGAGAGTCCTCCAGACAGCTTCTGACACCCCACCCTCTCTGCCTGCAGCACCCCACCCCTCTCTCCACCCCAAATCTGGCACAAAAGCCACTTCCAGAGGCCAGGTATCGGGTCGCCATGGGGTGACCTGCGTGGACTCATGCATCCAACAGGCAGCCCCCCCCAACAGTAAACGTGGGCCTCTCTGTGCCCATGACCCTCACATCAGGCTGTGAAACCCCACAGATCCAGTTCCCTGCAGCCCCGCCCCTTCCCAGTGGGGAGGCCTCAGCACACAGGAGCCTGGTGCCCTGCCCTGTACCCTGTGCCAGGCGGGGGTGGTGGGGTGAGCCCTGGCTGGGCTGTGAGTGTGAGGTCCTCACCCTGCCGTGTCCCTTTGGACCCTCGGCCCAACTACAGAGACGGAGGCAGGGCCAGGGGGCCACCATCCAGCACCCACACTCCCCACGCCATACCTGCTGCAGGTGGCCCAGGACGTTGGTCCTGCAGTCGAAGACGCCCTTGCCCTCGGAGGAGTACAGGTTGTACAGGAACTCCGTGGTGTAGTGCTCATGGCACTTCTCATTCCTGGCGAGAGCGACCGAGGACTCAAGCTGGGTGGGAGCTGGCTCCGGCCACCCCTGCTGCCGAGCCCCCGGGCCGGGCTGCAGCCTCTCGGAACACCAACCCCGACCCCCACTCTCCAAGGCCCCCCGTTCTGTCCCGAAGCCCCCACCGTGGCTTGGACAGACCGTGCCCGGCCAGGCACAAGGCCACCGGGCCTCACCGAAGCACCAGGCCCCTCTGGATCTCCGTCTTCATCTTCTCAGTCATGTGCTCCACGTTGGCCTGAGGGGCGAGGGACACGGTGAGCCAGGGCCAGGCAGCAGCCAGCACTGCCCCCCAGCCCCCCGCAGCTGAAGGCAGGCTACCCAGGAAGGAACGTTCCAGACTAACTGGCAGGCAGGGTCACCATGACCCAGGGGGACAGGGGGCTGGCAGGAGGGCACCGAGAGGTGGCAGCTAGACCATGAGGCCATGGAAGCCACAAGGTGGACGCAGGGTGGGGGGCTGCAGGGGGAGGGGTGCAGGAGTCATGGGCTAGGTCCCCTCACAGGCAGGGAGCCCCCAGCCCACTCGGCCCAGTCCCGTGCCGGGCCGGCTCCCGTGTGTCTTAGGCGGGGACCCACATGGCCTCTGACGGGAGGAGGCCAAGGGCTCAGCTCACCTTCAGGTCCTGGATGTTGAAAGGGTCCTCGAAGATGTAGGCGGCGTCGGCCCCCACGGCGATGCCGGTCACGGTGGCCAGGTAGCCACAGTAGCCGCCCATGGTCTCCACGACGAACACCCGGCGCTTGGTCCCCGAAGCCGACTGCTTGATGCGGTCACAGCTCTAGGGGACCGGGGTGGTCAGGGCCATGGGGACTCGCTCTGATGCAGGGAGCCCGTCTCCCTCTGAAGGCGGCAGGGTGGGGAGGAGGCCGGGACGGTCCCAGGCCCCACATGCCCAGGGCTCTGCAGCCCTCACCGCGGGCCACAGGACCCCTGACCGGGAGATTCTGCCCCGGTGGGGGCGGGGACATGTGGTGGGTGGAGGCCAGGGACACCGCTGAGGGGATGTCCCTGACGCTGGGCCTCCACGTCTCATCTGTAATCAGGGAAGGTCACTGCTGCCACTGTAGGTCATTGTAAACACAGGAGCGGGACACGTGAAACAACGTGCTCTGTGGACGCTAACAACAGGACACGCGTCGTAACCTCCACTCTGAACGGCTCGGTGTCAAAAGGTCGTAACGTTACACAGAGAATCGAAAAACGGGAAATGAAATAGGAAAAGTAGGTGATTGGGGTCTGAAGCAAGAGATTAAACCCCAGATAACAGGCGCACAGCGAAGAGGAGGAAGCCGCTGTAGCGTTTGCAAAGGGTCACTGTCCTTCATGTGTAAAGAGCACTTGCAAACAAACAAGAAAGTTCACCAAGAGAAAAGTGGGCAGGGGATAGAAAAAGACCTTTTAAAGAAAACCAGAAATGGGCAATAAATGTACAGAAGAATCGACTGCGTCGGAAATCAGAGCAGCGAATTAAAACAAAACCGCCTTCCCGTCAGAGGCGAGGAAGACGGGCCCGGCTCGGGGCTGGCGAGGGGCGGGCACGGAAGGTTCGGCGGGGCCGTGG